ACCAAGCTCTCAGACTCCGAAGCTAGCACCCCTGAACCCCTGTTCTCAGTTGGGACCCTCAGTTGGAAACCATCCATTAGCCTAGTGGCTTTGGGCAAGTCGCTTGGGCTCTCTGAGCCTCGGTTTTCTTATTTGTGAAGTGGGATTGAGGGAGATTAATAAGTGAGATTGCTGTGAAGTCTAATTGGGACAGTGAATGTGAAAAAAACAAAACAAAGCAACACTTGTTCACTGGCCGAGGCGAGTGGCTTTAGGAGACTTTATCATTTAGGGGTTTCACCCCCAGAGCTCTCTGGCCACAGAGGACTTGGAAAAGGCCCAACTCCTTCCTCTGCCTCCAGGTCTAGTCGCTCTGAGTCATCAGCCAGAATTGACTAATGACATCCAGAACATCCCAGTTTGCTCGATGTATGGGCTGGGACAGATGAGGAGGAATGAGAGGAGAAGGTACAGATGAACAACAGGACACTGTGGCTCTGTCCACTCCCATCCTCCCTTGGGAATTTGAGGTTCTTGGAGGGTGAGGAAGGACCGTTCCATATGAAATACTGAGACCAATACAAGCCACCATAATGACCTTTCCTGCTCCCGTTTCACTTCATGAAGATATCTCATGTCTTCAGTCATTTCCCAGAGGCTCTGAATTGCTAATATTATCCCCATTTTACAGATGAGTAAGTGAGGAAACTGACACTTGGGCAGGTTTACTTGAGGCCCCGAGTTAGGGGCAAGTGGGATATTAGTCTCTACTAGTAACCCTGACTCCTCTGTGGATGCTTCCAGAGCCAGGCAAGGGAGGGGGAAGGTCCTCAACAGAGAAAAGGAGAAAGTCTTTCTTTTTACAGCTGTGCAGAGCTCTTGCAAAAGCCTTGAGGCAGGTGAAATAGAAGCCACCAGAAAACAAAACCCTGCAGATGTTTGTCCCTCTCCTGCACCATCCAGACAGGCCTTCATCCCATCTACCCTAAAACCCTAAAAACTGCCTGCAGTTCTCACAGCCTCGCTTGGGCTGATAACCTGGCTTCTCTGTGGAACTCACCAACCTGGGGCTGTCTACAGGTGCTGGGGGCCTGAAGAGGGTCTTGGCTGCCACCATTAGCTTGATGACCTTGGGCCCATCATGCCTCTCCAAGCCTCAGTTTTGCCATCTGTTGAACAGGTTTATTAATGAATGTTGTAACTGGAAGATTGCAGTGGGCATAACCTGGAATGGCTGGCACAGCAAGCTTCTAAAGTTGACTTCCATTCTTCCCTCTCTCTGGGGACTTATCCCTTCCCTTTTTCTTCTGCTGAAAGATGGCATCAGATAAAGGGGAGGCAATTCGATTCCTTGTGAAGAATCCTAGGCGTTAGCTGCAGATAGCTGAGCTTAAAACCCATCTCTAGGGAATTCCCTGGTGGTCCAGTGGTTAAGACTCCATGCTTCCCATGGAGGGGGCACGAGTTTGATCCCTGATTGGGGAACTAAGATCCCACATGCCGCCTAGCCAAACAAAACAAAAATTCAAAACCTGTCTCTCCTTTGTACCAGCCCTGAGCTGCTTCTCTGAGCTGCAGTTTGCTCATCTGTAAAATGGGGATAATATAAGGTCAACCATCCAGAGGGAACTCCCTTCTTTCACCTGGAGGTGGAGAAAGTGAAAGTGAAGTCGCTCAGTCGTGTCTGACTCTTTGCAACCCCGTGGACTGTAGCCTACCAGGCTTCTCCGTCTATGGGATTTTCCAGGCAAGAGTACTGGAATGGGTTGCCATTTCCTTCTCCAGGAGATCTTCCCAACCCAGGCACTGAACCCAGGTCTCCCGCATTGCAGGCAGATGCTTTACCATCTGAGCCACCAGGGAAGTCCTGGAGGTGGAGAAGGTGTGCCTAACTGAGAGAATGCCCCAAAGTTGGTGACATCTCAGAGGAGCGGGGAAGATGTTTCTGAGTGAGGTTTGGAAGAGGGCTTCTAGCACCTTCTGAAATCAAATCCCTTACATTATAAGTTACTCAGATATAAAACCTGGTTCAGATATTCATAAAGAGAAACCAGTTTCTCCAAGGAGTATGGCTCCCAGGGCAAGAATGCTAAGGCAGGATGGGGACAGAGGACCCAAAAGGGGAGTGGGTTGGAACTTGGGCTCCTTCTAGCTTGCCTGCCCCAGTTTAATCTAGGTCAATGAAATGAAAATTTTTGAGCTTCTGCTGTGTTCAGGAACCATGCAAGTCACTTTGTAGGATAAGGGGGGATCATGAAGCAGACATTAACTCTGTCTGCCCTTAAGAATCAAAAGAAGTAATGATGATATGGATAGGATATCTCCATGTAACCCTAACAGGCACTTTGCACAGAGCCTGGTACATGTGCGTGCAGGCTCAGTCACTGCAGCTCTGTCTGACTCTTTGCGATCCTGTGGACTGTAGTCCACCAGGCTCCTCTGTCCATGGGATTCTCCAGGCAAGAGCACTGGAAGAAGTTGCCACGCTTTCCCAACCCAGGGATAGAAACTGTATCTTTTGCCTCTCCTGCATTGCTAGTGGATTCTTTACCCACTGAGCCACCTGGGAAGCCCCATAGTAGGTGCTGAATATGTGTTAATTGAAGGTAACAAAACTATGAACTATGATGGGGCGGGGGTTGCAGACCCTGAGTGAGGTGGTTTCCCAGAGGAAGGGTCATTTATATTGGGCTTTGATGGCAGCCTGAGTCCTCTGCTCCTCCCTTTGTCCGCTGGTCCTCCATCAGGGCTGATGAAGACCCCAGCAGAGCAAAACCCTAACTTCTCCTCACTCCTGCCCACCGGCCCTCATCTGAACTCTGAGAAGTCTCCGGATGTGAGGAGGAAGTGGCCGGGCTGCGGAAGGCAGGCTCATTTCCAGTGCGGGGCCGGGCCGCCAGCCCCAGGTCCTGTTTACACAGCAAGGCGGACGGGCCGACAAGACTTGGCGGCAAATGCGCTTCTGCCTCTGAGAACAGAAGGGGCTGGCAGATCCTGGCCAGGCCAGGCGCGGAGTGGCCTGTGCCAAAGGGAAAGTCAAATGTAAAGAGTGTTTCCTCCTGGCCAGGCGGCCCCAGACTTTTGTCTCCAGTCTGCAGGCAGTTCCTCCAGTGATTCATAATCAGCGGGAACTTATAAATAAACCCCACCTCGACCTCGCACCATAGCCTGACTGGGACCTGGGCGGGAGCGAGGTGGGGGGGCTGGGAAACACAGAGGCCGAGGAGAGGCCCTGAGAAGGCTTGGGGGACTGGGGTGACGCTGGCCATTGGGCAGGGGCACCTCTGACTTCCTATGGAGGGATTGCAGGGGGTGTCACCAGCAGTCATATCCCCTCCGAGGCCTTGGGCATGGGGCCACCAGTCAGAAGCAAGGAACGCTGAGAGGCTGGAACTTTCATCTGCTTCCCAGGAGGGTGGTAGATGAGTCTAGGTGGAATTTTGAAATAACTGGCCTTTAAAACCTTTTGGGGGATTATAATTTCAAATTCATGAAAAAGTTGCAAAAAAATAGAACAGAGAACTCCTGTATAACTTGTAGCCAGATTCATCAATTGTTTATATTCTGTCCCATTTTGCTTCATCATTCTTTTTCTCCTATATTTTCTTTTTTGGAACCATCTAAAAATAGGCTTCCAATTATGGAAAACAGTATAAGGTTTCTCAAAGAAACAAGAATAGAACTACTATATGACCCAGCAATTTCACTCTTGGATATATATCTGATGAAAACAAAAGCACTCATTTGAAAAGATACATGTACTCCAGTATTCATTTTTTTGTTCATTCTAAGCCTCTTCAGTCGTGTCCAACTCTTTGCGACCCTATAGACCGGTAGCCCAGTAGGCTCCTTAGTCCATGGGATTCTCCAGGCAAGAACACTGGAGTGGGTTGCTGTGTCCTTATCCACGGGGCCAATGTTCATAGCAGCATTATTTACAACAGCCAAGGTATGGAAGCAACCTAAGTGTCCATCAACAAAGTAATGGATAAAAAAGATGTGAAAATAAAAAAGATGTGGTACATACATCCAATGAAATACTACTCAGCCATAAAAAGAATGAAAGTTTTATATTTACAGTAACATGGATGGACCTAGAAGGTAATATGCTAAGTGAAATAAGTCAGACAGAGAAAGAGAAATACTGTATGATATGATATGTGAAATCTGAAAAATACAACGAATGAATATAACAAAAAAGCAGACTCACAGATATGGAGAACAAACCAATGGTTATCAGTGGTTGGGGGCACAATATAGGGTGGGGGAATAGGAGGTACAAACTATATTGTGTGTAAGACAGGCTCAAAGATAGATTGCACAACATGGCAAATATAGCCAGCATTTTGAAAATGGAGCATAACCTTTAAAAATTATATAAAGATAGTAAAAATAGGCTTCTAGCATCACATCTCTGTGCCCCGTATGACTTCACTGTGCATTTCCTGAAACAGCCATTGTTTAGAATTCTGATCAACCACTTACTAATGTATTCCAGGGCAAGATGTTCAGGTCTCGTGTCCCCTGTGAAGTGGGGCTACAAGGACCCCTTTCCAAGGAGAGGGTGAGGAGAAATAACGGTGGAAATATCTATCAGAACAGTAAAGATAGGCGCAGCTCATTATTTTGTGCAAAGCGGCTTGCATCTATTATGTCATTTGACCTGCACACGTGAAACAGGCTCAGAGACGGTATATAATTTGTCCAAGGTCACACCGCAGGCCAGGCTTTGATGTACACAGTAAGCACTGAACTAATCCTGGGGCCTGTCCTCATCCTTATTTGCTGCATGATTGTGATCAAGGGTTGGGTTCCTAGGCTTGTCTCCCTTTGTGATATGGGCACTGGTGTCTCTGCGGTGCTGGGTGGGGAAAGAATGCAAGCTGCTTCTGCACGCAGCCCAGCTCTCCAGGTTCTTGGAAGAAACGCTTCCTGTGGAGTGGAAGCTGCTCCAGCAGTCAAACCAGCTTCTCTGAATTCTTCCGGTCACCTTATGATCCAGGCTTAAACCTCTCTTGCAGATTGTCTCTGGAAACCGGGAAATCTGACCAGAAGGCCCTTCGCCGCCCAGGCTCCGTAGCTTCTGCAGTGATGAGGCCTGGCCACCAGATGGCTCCACAGAGACCACTGCGCTCTCAGGGGCCGGGAGGTAGGTGTTCCTCCAGGCGCGGTTTTAATGGGACTGCTCCCCTTGGGAGAGAGAGCAACCACACTGCCTCCCCTTGGCTTCGGGTTGCAGAGAAACAGTAGGGAAGCAAGTCTCCCCGGTCACTTGGCCCTCAATCTCTGCTTCACAGGGGTTGTTACCTGGTTGAGCAAGGCCTGGGACTGTAACAGCTGCTGGATTTCTCTAGACCTCAGTTTCCACATTTGCAGAAGGGGCAGGTCCCTTCTGCCTGGCTTTCTTCATGGGGTCTGGCTGGCAGGTCAAACACCGAGCCTCCATCCCCACACCTGAAACTGGTATCATAGTAGAGGTTGTTGCGTGTCATCAGGAGGAGGAAGAGCTGCCCGCATAGGAAGAGATTTGAGGGTGAAGCCTGCAGCCACCTACAAGTGAGCTCTGGGATCTTCCTCCAGCTTCCAGACCAGCTTCCTTTATAAACTGTAGTGCGGGACTTCAGAGTGGGAGACCTCAGGGCTCATTTCAGCTGTACCTTCCAGTCTTCAGACAGAGGAAAGTCCAGAGAGCAACAGCGGGCTTGCCCAAGGTCTTACCACCCCATCTGACCACACTGAAAACCACGTCCACTAACCCTGGCTCAGGGGACAGCCTGCATTAACTCTTTTCTCCCCTCTGCCCAGAGACCCAGCAGAGAGACTCAGAGTTGGGAAGGGCTGGTACAGCTGGGGCAGGAATGGGCACACCATGAACTGAAGGCCAGGCTGCAAAAGAGCTCAGTTTAGAACCCAAGGAAACTCCCTTCTCCTGAGGAACAGCCAGACCCCTGCCCCCACCAAGGTCTTCCATGGAAAAGCCCCTGGGGGCTCACCTGCCCAGACCCTCGCTGGCTGGGGGGATGGGGGTGGGTGGGAGGGGGAGTTGAGTTTTGAACACTCTACAGGGAACTTGCTGGATTTCTATTGCTACAGTGTATCTACACACTTTTATTTATGAAACAAGACTTCTGTTCTCCGTTAATTAGTGGGCTCCTATAAACCCTCTCCCCCAGCTCAGGATGTGGAGAGGGCAGGGGGAAAAACCAATAAAAATATAAAAATATGGAACTCCAGATGCACTGGGCAGGACCAGCCTTCCTGCCTGGAGAGAGGGAGGGACGTATTACCCCAAATTAGTAACTGCCAGAATCCCAGGCTGATAACAGGCATATTTTGGGAAGAACATGCTACTAACTTGACCTCATTCATACACAACTGTAACAGACTGATGGAGTGGCTTTTTCTTCAACAAGATTGGATGGGGGAGGAGAGGGGTCCTGTGAGCTTGGGAGTGGGGTGAAGACGAACTGGGCAGAAGTTGGGGATAGGCAACAAAGAATGGAAGCTGAGGGCTCCATTGGACTGACAGTATTGCCCATGCACCAGAAGGAAATGGACCACTGACTTTCAGGAGAGGCCTACATGGGTTGGGGGGGTGGGGGGGTGCAGATACTCAATTTCCATGAGTCAGTGTTTTCTCCTAGGGAAGAAAAGCAGGGTGCCATAACCTGCAGTTTCCCGCAGAGGAAGGGTTCCTGCAGGCCCAGCCTCATGCCTGGCTCTTTGCAGAGCCCCTGAACTGCCCCAGGGGAAGCAAGAGCTGTCCTCTCCATTGTAATCCAGTAGACTGAGGCCCAGAGAAAGAAAGGGACTTGCCCAAGAGCTGAGTTGGTAACAAAATGCCGAGAAGAACCAAGGTCTCCTGGTCAGTTGCCTTTTACTCACGTTCGGCCTGAATCTGAAGTTTAGGCCAAACCAGTATTCCTGGCTCTGTGATCCTGGACCTTGCCAAGCTCAGTTTTCCTCATCTGTAAAATGGGAGAGTATCTCTTATCCACTGGGGTTGTTGACAGGATTTGGTACTATAGGAAATGGCCTGGCATATAGTCAGCATGCAGTCAGTGGTGGCTGTAATACAGAGGAGTCCAATCTCACTTCAGGGCATGGTTCTTAAGGTCATTTAGCTCGAAGACTGGAAGATGGTGAAGGACGAGGGAAGCCTGGCGTGCTTCAGTCCAGGGGGTTGCCAAGAGGCAGACACGACTGTACCACTGAACAACAACAATGCAAAGAACAAAACAAAACAAAAAATAAAGGCCAAACCCTTGAAAATCCTTTAGGAAGTCACTGAGAAGAGGGGAATACTTATTTGGGGTGAGTGGGGAAGAAAGCGGAAGGCTTTAGGATTGCCAAGGAGCCAAAGGGTGAGACGGTGTGACAGGCAAACTGTATACGGTGGAAGGGGTGCCGTGCAGGCCCGGCAGGTTCAGGAGGGTCAGTGCCAGAATGGGCAGGGCCTTGAATGCCAGGCAGAGAAGTCCGACCGGCTTGCTGCTGTCAGGAGATGTTTAATTTTGGCAGTGGGGTGATTAAAGGGAGGTTCCCTGTGTGTGTGAATTTCCACCCACCCCCAGGGTTGTTTCTCTGCTGGAGAGCCGGGGCCAATTTATGGCTCCTGGCTGCCCCTAAGCAGCCTCTCCCAGCCCTCCTCCTCCCTGGCTGTCTGGCAGCCAACTGAGTTTTATGTGGGGAATCTGAGGAATTTGAAAAGGCAGAATGCAAATGCCACTGTTGGAGATTTCCTTGTCAGCCTCCAGAGGGGAAAGGCCCCTCTTCGTGGGTTAAGGAAGAGTGGCTCTCTGGGTCCCCAAACCTGCGGGGATGCTCAGGGCCAGTTCCTTGACCCCCGTCTGTGAGAAGCAGGCAATGTCACCAGAAACCAGGAGTCTCCTCTAGAGCTCTTGGAGAGCCGAGCTGGGTAACAGAGAAGTCTCTGGACACTGCAGAGAGCCTGCCACACGCCCTGTGTTGGGACTTTAATGACAATTCCTCAGTGCCCTCCTTTAACAGAGAAGCGAATAGACAGAGGAGGGAACGGGAGACGTTTTGTCTGGGGTCACCGGGGCCGACCTGGACGGGATCCAGGGCCCCAGCGCTGATGGGGACCGGGGTAGGGGTGGGGGGGGCGGCCCGGTGCCGTGAGCGCGCTGAGGACGCAGGGCGGTCCCGGACCTCGCGCGTCCGGAGACCCTCAGGGCGGTGGGCGCGCCCGCCGCCCCCGGACCTGCCCCGTCTGGCGTGTGTGTGGGGGGAGCCGTGTGGGGCGGCCGGGAGCTGGGAACTGGGAGCCGGGAGCCGCGCCCGAGCTCGGGCGCCTCTATCTCCCGCGGCCACGGCGTCTCCGAGTCTCGGCGGCCCGAGCGCCGGGCGTTATCTGCTCTCGCCCGGCCGGGGCCCCTTCCCGCCTTCCCGCCAGGCCGGGGCCGCCGTGGCGACGGGCTGCTCCCGCCTTATCATCGGCTGCCCCCGCCAGCGAGCTGGGGCCCGAGTCTGACCCCCGCCCCTGCCGCTCCCCGGGCGGCCCCCTCCCCTCCCGGACAGCCACCCACCCACCCAGATGCCCTCTCCCAGGGGGGCCACGTCCCCGATGTCCCTCTCAGAGCTGCCCCTTCTGGGGCCAGGCGGCAGGAGAGCTTTCCCCAAGGGGCACTGCATCAGAAAAGGGTGTTTGTCAGATTTGTCCTTTTCTTAAAAGGCAAGCCTGACTACGGTTAATCCCATTTTAGTCACGTTTTAAAGGATTTCATAAGAGAGGCAAAGTTATGCAAAACAAAACAAAAGCAGTCAATCCCTAAACCCACTATACATCAGGGCTGGGCAGGGGCGGGGTGGGATAGAGTGCTTATTCATCGGATGGCTCTAAACCGCTTCTGCTCAGGGCTTACTGTGTTAAGTGTGACACCCCTTGGGAGCGAAGTTTCCCCACCTAAGTACTGGAATCTGTAGGCCATAAAGCTTCCCGCAGTGCTGGTGGCAGAAAGCATGGGTGCAGCCCTTTGTAATAGCAATTTGGCAGTATAGACAGAAAGCCATAAAAGTATTCATACACTTTGACTCAGTAATCTCACTCTGGGAATGTATCCCAAGGAAATAGTTCAACAGCAGTGAAAGAAAAAGACAAAAGCAGAAAACTGTGGGTCCAATCATGTGTTATTTGTAAAGCTAACGAACGTATCTTTCTGAGTGAAAAGTTGGAATACACAAATTGCGTGGAACGGGGTTTGTACCCACCATGGTCTCACTGTGAACCCATCAACAAACCTCAAATAAGTGTCTTAACCTCACTGAAGTTCCCTTTTTGTTTCTGGGAAGTGGATAGCCTCACCACTCAGAGGACTTTCGAAGGAATTCCAGGAGACAGCCTGTGAAAGCATCTAGTACAGCGTTTGAGGGCAGAGGAAGAACATAAGACGTGTTTATTTCCCTCCTTTCTTCATCCTTACAGAAATGAAAATATGGAGTATTTCAACTCACATTTGTAAATACTAGAGAAAGTGCATGGGCTGCGTTAAGAGCTTGGGATTTTTGAGTCCTTCAAACTTGGATTGGGCTAGAATCCTAGCACCACTTACTTCCTAGTTGTGTAATCTTGATAAGATGTACTTCCTCACTTATTAAAAAATGATGATAGAATTTACCCTGTAACTGTTGTGAGGATTAAATGAGGTAGTATGTGGAATGTGTTTAGGTCTGTGCCTGGCATATAATAAACACTCAGTAATGGGTGGCTATTAATCTCACTTTCAGGACTATCCATAAAAAATAATTGTGTGTGTTTTTTTTAACTGTGGTGTTCTTCATAGTGACAATCCCAGTGTCTACCTCTTAGGGCATGGGTGGATGAATTTGGTTACATCCATGCCAATGGATACAGTAGACTTCTAAGAAGGAGCTTGTTGAATCTGTGTGTGGTGACTTGCAGGGTTGTCTGTTCTATTAGGTATAAAAAGGCAATTGTGTAGTAGTGTGTAAAGTATGATCCCATTTTGTGTTTAAAGAAAGTGTGTGTGTGGTGTGTATGAGAGAGAGAGATAGAGTAAGCCTCCAAGACTTCACTGGGATAAATGTTGGTTATGTTTGCTTGAACCTAAAGAAAAGTGGGTAGGTATACTGAAAGGGGAAAGAAGTTTTGTCCAGTTTTCTTTTTTTCCAGTTTTATTGAGATATAATATTATACATGTTTAAGGGGTACAATATAATGAATGAAAGCAAAAGTCGGTCAGTTGTGTCCAACTCTTTGTGACCCAGGCCAGAATACTGGAATGGGTAGCCTTTCCCTTCTCCAGGGGATCTTCCCACCCCAGGGATCAAACCCAGGTCTCCTGCATTGCAGGCGGATTGTTAACCAGCTCAGCCACCAGGGAAGCCCAAGAATACTGGAGTGGGTAGCCTATCCCTTCTCCAGAGGCTCTTTCCAACCCAGGGATCCAACCAGGATCTTCTGCATTGCAGGCAGATTCTTCACCAGTTGAGCTACCAGGGAAGCCCAATATTGGGCTTTCCAGGTGGTGCTAACGGTAAAGAATCTGCCTGCCAATGCAGGAGATGCAAGAGATATGGTTTTAATCCCTGAGTCAGAAAGATCCCTTAGAGTAGGAAATGGCCACCCACTCCAGTATTCTTGACTGGGAAACCCCATAGACAGAGGAGCCTGGCGAGCTACAGTCCATGGGATCGCAAAGAGTCGGACACAACTTAGCAAAACAACAACAATAATACTTTACATATATATGTACATACACACACATATACGTATATATATGATCACCACAATACATTTAGTTAACATCCATCACCTAACATTTTTTTCTCATGATGAGAACTTTTAAGACCTACTCCTTGAATATTTCCAAACATCTTTGTGAACTATAGTCACCATGCTGTATATTCCCAGAGCTCATAACTAGAAGTTTATACATTTGATACATTTATACATTTGTATAACTAGAAGTTTATACATTTGATCACCTTCACCCATTTCTCCCACCCTCTGCCTCTGGGAACCACCAATCTGTTTGCCCATTTGTGTAGTTTGACATTTTCTGTTTCATTTGTAGAAATTCTGAATGTGAGATTTATGAACCCTTCCTTCCCTGCATGTGAGCCTGTGGAGAGGCTCCTGCCAGCCTGTTCTGGGTTTCTTGGTGGTGGGAGAAGAGAGGGGGTGATCTCAGGTCCCCATCTCTCGCTGACCTCTGGCCTGCTACAGCAGCATGTGTTGTTGGAGTTTGGGAAAATGACAAACAGTTTTGATCACACACAACAAAACAAGAGTTTGCAAGGCAATATGATCCCTGGTTGAGTTTTTGTGAGAAGGAACAGCCTGTGTCTGTGAGTGTGTAGAAGAAGGGCTGGGAGGACCTGGCTGACTTTTGAAGTGGGGTGTGCTGAAGGGGGTTTTATTTTTGCACATCTGTTGTTTGCATTTTTTTACACTGTGCATTATTGCTTTTGCAAGGATAAAGCAGTGGGGTATCTTTACTCCTGAAATACACTGTTGTATTTTTGTACTGTGATTGCAAGGAGAAAATGTGTACAAACACCAGAATTTGGGTTCAGATGATGGGACCCATCCCCACAACTATTTGGTTTTTTTTTTAGATTTGTGCCTTTTATTTTTTTTTATTGTGGTAAGTAATGCATAACCTCAAATTACCATCTTAACCATTTTTAAGTGTATAGTGCAGTAGTGTTAACTATTTTATAACAGATATCCAGAACTTTTTCATCTTGCATAACAGAGGCTCTATACCAACTGAACATATTCCCATCTCCCCCTCCCCTCAGCCCGTGGAAACCACATTCTATCAATAGTTTCTTTCTCTATGAATTTGACTACTTTAGAAACCTCATATAAATGGAATCATGTAATATTTCTCTTTTCGTGGCTGACTTACTTCACTTAGCATAATATCCTTGGGGTTTGTCCATGTTGTAACTTATGACAAGATTTCTTTCTTTTTTTAAAGGCTAAATAACATTCCTTTGTGTATGTATGCTACATTTTGTTTAGTTCTTCAAAGGAAATTTAAGCTGCTTTCACCTCTTCAGTATGGTGAATAATGCTACAATCAACACAGATATGCAAATATTTTTTCAAGATCCTGTTTTCAATTCTTTTGATATATATACTGCTATGGGCTGAATGTTCCTATACTTCCAAACTCCTATGTTGAAATTCTAATCCTAATGTTATGGTGTTTGGAGATGGAGCCTTTGGGTGGTAATTAGGCCATGAGGGTGGAGCCCTCATGAATAGGATTAGTGCCCTTATCCTTACAAGAAGAGGACAGAGAGCTCCTTAGCTCACTGCTGTGTGAGGACACAGAGAGAAATCAGCACTCTGCAACCCAGGGGAAGGCTCTCACCAGAACCTGACCATGCTGATAGCTTGATCTTTGATCCCCAGTCTCCAGCACTATGAGGAACAATTTTCTGTGGTTTATGAGCCACCCAGGCTATGATATTTTGTTATAGCAGCCCAAGTAGACTAAGGCATATACCAAAAGTAGAATTGCTGGATCATCCACTCCAGTATTCTTGCCTGGAGAATCCCAGGGACAGAGGAGCCTGGCAGGCTACAGTCCATAGGGACTCAAAGAGTTGGACATGACTGAAGTGACTGAGTATGCATGCGTGCATGTGCTAATTCTATTTTTAAGTTTTTTGAGGAAATATACTATTTTTCACTGCAGCTATATCATTTTACATTCCCACCAGCAGTTCCAATTTCTCCACATCTTTATCAGCACTTGTTATTTTCTGTTTGTTTTTTTATAGTGACCATCCTAATGGATCTGATGATATTTCGTTGTGTTTTGATTTGCATTTCTCTGATGGTTAGTGATGTTGAGCATCTTTTCATATGCTTGTTGACCATCTATATATCTTCTTTGGAGAAAAGTCTATTCAAGTCCCTTGTACATTTTTTAATTGGGTTACTCATGTATTTATTTACTATTGATTTGTTATGGATATTAATCCCTTATTAGATATATGATTTGCAAATACTTTCTGCCATTCTGTGTGTTGCCTTTTCACTCTGTTGATTCTTTTCACCCTGTTTCCTTTGCTGTGTGAAAATTTTAAAGTTTGGTGCCTTACCATGTGTCTACTTTTTGCTTAGGTTGCCTGTGCTTTTGGTGTCACATCTGAGAAATTATTGCCAACTCCAATGTTTTAAAGTTCCTTCCCTGTTTTCTATGAGTAGTTTTATAGTTTCAGGTCTTACATTTAGGTGTTTGACCCATCTTGAGTTGATTTTTGTATATAGTGTAAGATAAGAATCTAAATTCATTCTTTTGCATGTAGATACCCAGTTTCCCCAACACCAACTGTTGCAAAGACTATCCTTTCCCCATTATGTAGTCTTGGCGTCTTTGTTGAAGATCATTTGACCATGCACAAGGGTTTATTTCTGGGCTCCCTATTCTGTTCTATCGGTGTAAACATCTGTCTGTATGCCATTACCATATTGTTTTGATTGCTGTAGCTTTGTAATATGTTTTGAAAGCAAGATGTATGAGGCCTCCAACTTTGTTTTTCTTTCCCCCTGTATTTTAATGTGGCAAATTTCCATCAAGTAAATTTTGAATTGTTATTCCTGGTTTGCAGGTTGGGAAGATCTAGGGGAGGACATGGAATTGGATTCTCACCTGGGGAAGCTCTGGTAAGCATAGACAGAGTGGATGACCACTAACTGTTTGCCCACCCAGCCATCTGCCACTATGTCTCTTGGTCTGCTCAGCCTGCAGTGGCCCACATTGGTTGGCTAGGGGTGGTAATGTTGCTTTCTTTTTCATCTTTCATTTCCTTCTTTTCTTTCTGTCTCCCTATTTCCTTATTTCTCACTTATTTCTTTCCTTCTCCTTCCTTCCTTTTTCTAGCCCAGTTAAATTGAGTGACTTGCCTAAAGCAACTAAGGAGTGACCCAAGGCCCAGATCGACTGACGTTTGCTGCTCTCCTCAGGGAAGAGGGAAGTACCATGTCTGTAACCCCTACCATTGTCCAGGCTTCTGGCGAGGTACTTTGCTCTAAAGCATGATGTGAGCTAGGTTTATTGGCCTATTTCTTTATCTGCAGATCTGTAGATGAGGACAACGATGCTTAGCTGGCTGGCACCCTGCATGAGGTTTCATAGCTGTTGTTTCATGGGCCTTTGTTTGAATCATGAAATGTGTCTTCCTAACAGCATTCTGAGGATGGTGCTTGTTCCCCCATTTTCCAGATGAGGAACAGGTGACTTTGAGCCCCGAGTCACTCAGGAAGTTTACATAGGAGCTGGGATCCAAACGGAGTCAATCCCTTGACCCCATGCTTCTCATCACCACACACTGTTCTGGGCTCTGCTCAGGTGCCCCCCCAACCTCAACCTCCTGACAGAAGCCGCTTAGCCAGATCTCCACAATCATCGTCATTGTGTTCCCAATGGCCATTTTATTCTCATTGATTAGGTTACGGGTTGATTGTGTTCTCCTTGTCCTTTCACCACGAATGATAGATGAGGCTACAGCTTCTAAGGTGCAGAGTGCCCCATGATCTCAGACACATAGCGGCAGGTGTTAAGCCACAGGTGCAGGAAAGCCTTGAAGAGTATTTCACCAAGTTGTGGGGAAGGGCATTCTAGGAAGATAGGACACCATAAGCTTGGAATAATACCATCAATCAACATCTACTCAGCATTTATTCTGTATATACTCTGTGCATGCATGCTAAGTTACTTCAGTTGTGTCTGACTCTTTGCGACCCTGGACTGTAGCCCACCAGGTTACTCTGTCCATGGGATTCTCCCGGCATAGGATTCTCCCACCTACTGGAGTGGGTGGCCATTTCCTCCTTCAGGGGATCTTCCTGGCCCAGGGACTGAACCCATGACTATTATGTCTCTCACCTTTGCAGGCTAGTTCTTTACCACTAGTGCCACCTGGGAAGATTGTATATACTCTGTCCCTGTGACTATTCTTGGGCTTCCCTTGGCTCAGTTAGTAAAGAATCCGCCTGCAATATGGGGGACCTGAGTTCGATCCCTGGGTTGGGAAGATCCCCTGGAGAAGGGAAAGTCTTCCCTCTCCAGTATTCTGGCCTGGAGAATTCCATGGACTGTAGAGTCCATGGGGTCACAAAGAGTCAGACACAATTGAGCAACTTTCACTTCATAGGACTATCCTAAGTACTCTGTATGTACTAATTCATTTAATCCACGAACAATTCTCTGAGGTAGGCACTACTATTAGTCTCACTTCACAGATAAGGAAAGAGACTCAGAGAGGCATAGGAACCTGCCCAAAGATACATAGCTAGAGTGAGGAGGGCACTGAGCCAGGCTGAGGCTCCAGGACTCCATGTTGGAGAAAAGACTATGTGTATAGGAAAGGCATTTCCACCCCCCCTTTTTTTTAAGCAAAAGGGGGTCCTTTGTTAATGAGGCAGCTGTGCAGAGCTCCTAGACCCTCAGAAACCAGGTTATGAGCCCTCTGTAAGCTCCCCTCCAAAATGGGAGCAATGATTATCGCTCCCCTGATTTTCCCTTTCCAAGCCTCCCCCTCTTCTACAGCAGAGTGAACTCTCAACTTTGCAGCAAAGCTCTGGTGTACCAGGCATGTTGGTCCCGGGAGGAGCCTGCCCCCGCAGTGCAAGCCTAAAGTGAGGCCTCTCCTCAGGTCCCGCTAGCTTGTGTCCCCGCCAGTGCTGCCCACCACAGGACTGGGGAGCTGGGGTTTCTTCCTGCATAGCTCCCCCTCTGCAGGAGCCTGTACATGTCAGGCTCAGAGACCCAAGAATAGCATGCACCCAGAGTGGCCTGGGTAAAGACCCTCGAATCCCTGGCTCCTCCCCTCACTGGCCCTGTGACCTGGGGCAAGTGTCTTAACCTCCTGGAACCTTTGTTGGCTTCCTTGGGTGGTTATGAGAGTAAATGAGTTTATATGTGTAAGGCGCTCAGAACAGTGCCCAGCACAGAGTAGTTGCTACATAAGTGGGCTATTGTTTTTATAATGCCACAAATCCTTATGGAGCCTCTGGGTGCTGGGGAGCTGGGGATGAATAAGGCAGAGCTTTTACGGAACCCAGCATGTACTGGGGTGACCAGCTGTCCTTTTTGCTGGAGCCCTTTCCTGGGATGTGGGCTTATCAGTGCCTAGATAGGGAAAGTCCATGGCGAGCTGGACTGGTGGGCCACCCTACAGTCTAATGGGGATGCAGATAATTAAGAGGCCATCCCAGGTTGTCTGGCAGAGAAGTTTGGGGGTCATGAAAGCACTGACTTAGGGATGAGTGAAACTTGGGATCAGGGAGGGCTTCCAGAAGGAGGAGGGCATTTAAGCTGAGACCTGGAGGATGAGAGAAGATGAGCTGAGTGAAGGAGGGGTGCGGGAGAGGGGAATGGAGGAGTGCGCCAAGCAGACAAACGCATGTGGGCAGAGCTGGCAGGCAGTGAGGGTGTGGTCCCCATGTGGGTGCTTGGGGAGGATGTGAGGGGCAGTGTGGCAGAGATGTACATGCATATATTTGCTTATATACAATGGCTGTCTTTTAGGGAGAGCACTGGGGGAGGGGGCGCTGGAGAAGAGGGTTAGAAATCCTATGGAGATTTTGAACTGTGAGAATGTTAATACCTACACCAAAAGATAAAATAATCTAAATCGACAACCACGCATGCCTGTGCTCACCCCTCCCCCACGCCCAGCTCATTCCAGCTGGGGGCCTGCAGACAGTGACTGCAGGACCCTCTGACATGGGCTGTCCCAGTCCCAAGGGCACCAAGCCCACCCAGGAAGGGGAAGAGGGCACGGCCAAATGTCTGCTGCCTGGGCCTTCCCCCAGGCCAGCCGTAGACAGAGCTAAACAGGCCAGCTTATCAGCTGTTGCCAGTATGTCCCACCCAGTGGAGCTGGGCTCATTGCTGGAAAAGTGGCCCCCAGCCCTTTGCCAGGGACAGCACTGGCCCAGGGTGGGGGGCCAGTGGAGGCATTTCCCCAGGGGTCAGCCTGTGGTGGGGGGTCTGAGGGAATGTAGAGAGCCAGGCCTGGGGTCCAGGAGTTGGTCTGCTGCAGACTCACTCTGGGATATTAAAGGATACATTTTTAGTGTTTTAAAATTATACAAATATTGAGGGTGAAAGAAGGGGCAGAGAATGAGATCGTGGGACGGCATCATCGACTCGATGGACATGAATTTGAGCAAACTCCAGAAGATAGTGAAGGACAGGGAAGCCCGGCGTGTTGCAGTGCATGGGATTGCAGAGTCAGGCATGACTTGGTGACTGAACACCACCAATCTCCCAAAATGCATTCTTTCGGTAAAATAATCACACAGTTCTTCAGCATATGAAATATAAGTTCCCTTCTCTGGAAATGGATGTGTTAGCTACCAGGTCTGGATCGTATCTGTGAGGTACACACTCTCAGTCCTCACTGACCCATGGGAGGTGGGCACCTTGTGCTCATTCATCACATGAGCAGGCCGAGGCCCAGCTGGTGAAGGTTTGTTCTTGATCCCAGGGCGGGGGAGTGGCAGAGCTGGCTCCAAGACTGCATCCCCACCAGTCCTGCCCATAAGGCGGGATGGGACAGAGGGCCTGTCCTGGGGTCAGGAGAGCTGGGCCTGCACCTGGTCTTGAAGGGTGTGTGGCCTTGGCCTCCCTTGCCCTCTCTGCTTCCAGCTGAGGGAAGGTGTGGGTGCCAGCTCTGCTCCCATGTACTCTGTTCCAGGTTCTGAGCCCAGTCCTGGGCCACCAGCCCTGCTTCTTTCCCAGAGGCCTATCCCTCCCATTTGCAGGAGGCTGGCCTTGAACTCTGGACCCTTGCGCCCTTTGAAGGGGTTTTAGTGTGGTTTGGGAAGGACAAAGAACAACTTTCATCAACAGGGCAGAAATTACATGGTGGGCATTCCTGGCAGGCACTGGGGAATGTGATGCTAGCCCTAGGTCCAGTGCAGGCATCATTGAGCCATGGAACTGTGTTTCTAATTACAGCATGAATGTGGGTAGCTGGACCCAAATATTTTGCAGGATCCTAGTAAATGGTTGCTAACCAGTTCCTCTCATGGTGATTGGTTGGGGCTGGGGGGTGGGGGAGATGGATTCACAGGTTGGAAGGGTAGTCAGGGAGGAGGGGCAAGGCCTTCCCAAAAAGCAGTGATGAATGATGTGATATGAAAGCAAAGAGGAACAGAACCGCTGCTTTGGGAGGCAGACAGGCCTGAGTTTAAATCTAGGCTGGTGACCTCCCGGCTGTGTAACCTTGGGCGAGTCACTTAGCCTTATTGCCTCTCAGAGTCTTAGCTTCTCAAGTGCAAAATTGAGACATCTTTCTTGCAAGGATATCATGAAGACTATAGTGTGTGGGCTTCCCTGGTGGCTCAGATGGTTAAGAATCTGCCTGCAGTGTGGAAGACCTGGGTTCCATCCCTGGGTCAGGAAGATCCCCTGGAGAAGGGAATGGCAACCCAGTCCAGTATTCTGGCCTGGAGAACTCCACAGACAGAGGAGTCTGGCAGGCTACAGTCCATGGGATTGCAAAGAGTCAGACATGACTGAACAACTAACACATAAACTAACACATAAACAGTGTGTATAGCATTTAGCATAGAGCCTTTACATGGGAGGTGTAAAGAAAGAAATTCTTTATGTCCCAGGGTAAGAATAAAAACTTGGAATTCTGTAAATTTTATAATTTTGAAAACTATTTTCTTTCTGTAAAGCAATATATATGCTCATGGTCAAAATATTAGTATATAGAGATAAGGAGAAGAAGCCACCAGTAATCCCTTCATCAATTATTATTGTTATTATTTATTACTAGAAAGTGTTAGTGGTGGGCTTTAAGGCATCAGAGGGGGGCTGATGGCCTAAATGATCTCAGTGTATCTCACATTATTCTGCTTAGGTTGAATGTGTAAGCTACTGCCTTCCCCCAAAGGAAGGCAGTCTGGAGGGCGGCTGACCCTTGCCTTGCTGATGTCGGAAGCTGTCGCTTCCCTGGGTACACCAGCCTCAGCCTGAAGGTGTGCCCTGCTCAGGCTCTCCCAGCAGCAGGTCAGTGAGATGTGACTGAAAAGGGCGGAAAAGTAAAGGTTTGGAGCCCTGCAGACCTGGATTCCAACCC